AATTCAATTAACATTGAAGAGCTAATTTTTTAAAAACTACTTGTGCGATGTTTACAGAACTTGACAGTTTGACATAATTTAAGTCATAGAATTGGAATATGGAAAAAAAATCTGCATGTCATTTCAGAAAAAGTCCCATTTTGTGTCAAAATACCTGTATTAGAACATTGCAATACATATCCTAAGTTGCATCTTCGAGACATGATACATGCAATTTGAATTTCGACAATTGGACCAGTAGAACAGGAGATACAGATCTTTTCCTTTTTTTTTTTTGTGTGTGTGTGTGTGTGCAGTGTACTTCTTTCGTTTGCTCTGTTATTTCAGTAAGTTACCCATTCAATATGCATTACTAACTTTTATCTGTATATATGATTTTGATTTAGGAATGCACCTTAACTGTCCTCACACTTGCAGTGAAAATCTTACCAAAACATATGTTACTATAGATGTGAGGGGAGTAAGAAGAGAGAGGGAGTTACTGAGTAAGGATTTAAAAAAAAAAAAAAAAAAAAAAAAAAAAAAAAAAAAAAAAAAAAAAAAAAAAAAAAAAAAAAAAAAAAAAAAAAAAAAAAAAAAAAAAAAAAAAAAAAAAAAAAAAAAAAAAAAAAAAAAAAAAAAAAAAAAAAAAAAAAAAGAAATTTTGCTTTGAGATGGATATTTTAAAAATGATATATTAATATATTAACACGATGATATTATTAAAATAGTTATATTAACAAAACAGTGTACAATCATAATGTATATTCAAAAAATTAATTTTATCTGGCAGATAAAAGGTTAATCTTTGGATTATGGTAACTTGGCAATTTTTTGGTGAAAATTTGGCGACGAACCCTGCAACAACACAAAAATATGCTGACATCCCACATTCATCAATATGTCAGTTGATACAATGCCACTGGCAACAGCCCCATTCTCTAGCTGCCATGAGAAGAAAAATCACATTTAAGGTGCACCTACTTTCTTTTATACAGCATTATATTCTCCACTGCTGGACTTTGTAACCCAGTAGGGAAATTTTTTTATTATTTTAATTTTATTTATCGATTTACTTATTGGACTGGTGGTCTAGATATTAGATCATTCTGGATATTGGCCATCCATATTTCAGACTCTATACTTCATTTGTACATATCTCTGTCCCATGCACTTGTATTCAGATATGTACTTAAAATTCTGTATATTAACACATTTATATGCTATATGGTTATTTCATAATATTTCAGTTTTTTGCTATAGCATGTACATCACTATTAATTTAGAATTTAACTAGTAACAGAAATTCATTACATGATCACAATTATCTGCAATTTGCGATTAAATTTATCTTGTTATTCCAAGTATGAAAACATGTTAATATCAGTACTTTGTGCTACCATTTTATGTACATGCACTTACTCTGCTAGATGTAGCCCAATACAAAGAGTTGCTTAATACTGGTGTCTGTATTTCTTAAGTACTAATAAAAATAATGAAATGGGTTCATACAAATATAAATGACCTGCAGTTAACAATGAATCTTTTATATTTGTGCAATTCATTTTGCTTTGCATATAACATTAAATAATTAAATGTTGCTGTAAACATTTGTACCTCATTCAGATATATAGAAGTATTGTGGTCATTTCATTCAGTTTTTTGGTGTGTTCTACTACACATTTTTGTACAAATAATTCGGTTGATCTTTACAATATGGTAACTGGTAGTTTGGCGACATTTTGGAGGCGATAAAGGTTACTACCTGGCACTTTGGTAATAATGTGAGCAGTACTCAGTTCCGATTACGCATTATTTTGTGTGAGGGAAATGAGAGATCATGGGATATGTCATGTGATATTAATGGACGAATTACGGTTTCTTTAATCGGAAAAGGGGGGGAAAATCGGGAAAAAATCTGGAAACTTTTGTATTTGGCTTTATTCTGTGTTGTGTGAAACAGTGTTCGTGAATTTTTGGATCCCATGGCCATAACTAAAGTGAATTCGAAATGGGTTATTTATGTATGTATTAATTTAATGTATGTGCTCATTTATATTTTAAGTAGTGTTTTTGAATTTAATTATATTTTAATTAAATGATAGTTATTTTGTGAATTTTATGTTTGTAGGAATTTGGTATACGTTTTTAGTTGAAGTAAACGTGCATGGAAAAAATAATATAAATATCTGACATATATGTTCTTTTTACCGGGTTTAAAGATTGAGAAATTGTCATGTATTTTCGTGAAATTTTTCGAATTTATGAGAAAAAAGCAGTGTACAGGGATATAGTGAAGAGTGTGCGCAATGCCATTTTTGTGCAATTCTGGGATTTTTTTTAAGTAAAAATAAGTCGGCGTGTACATGGTTTAGTGATATTTTAATTAAATGATAGTTATTTTGTGAATTTTATGTTGTAGGAATTTGGTATACGTTTAAGTTGAAGTAAACGTGCATGGAAATAATTTAAATATTTGATACTAAGTATTTGTAATGCTTGCGGTTATGAATTCGTTGGTGACGTGTTATAATGTAATAGATGATTTAGAGGTAAAAGTTTTTGGATATTTTATTTATTTTATATGTGGAAATGTTCATATTTGGGAAAGGGTAAATACTTTTTCGCGATCAGGTAATTTCATATATGTTTTTTTACCAGGTTTTAAAGATTGAGAAAATTGTCATGTATTTTCGTGAAATTTTTCTAATTTATGAGAAAAAAGCAGTGTACATGGATATAGTGAAGAGTGTGCGCAATGCCATTTTGTGCAATTCTGGGATGTTTTTTAAGTAAAAATAAGTCGGCGTGTACATGGTTTATGTGTATGTGTTATTTTGAAAAACGCGTAAGGAGTATGGTATTGTGCACTTTTCCCAATTTTGCAGTGAATATTTTGTCATGATTAAGCAGTTTTGTTGTTAGATAAAATTTCTAGCATAAGTGTAATTCGGCTAGTAGTAGATTGTTGGAAGAAGTGTTCAGTAGATAAAAAAGAAAAAGAAACATGTCTTTACTTCGTGAAGACAAAATGGCGGCGGGAAAAAAAAATAGAGGGTTGCTGTAGGAGAGTTGGTCGCCAAAAAAACGCCAAGTTACCATAATGTAAAGATCAACCAATAATTCTACATATATATGGTTGCATACTCACTTAAATGTAGTATTATGAGTAGTAACATAATCACTGCCATAAATTCATTTACGGTAGTGTTTGAAGAATTTATCATAGCAGTACTAGAAATGTTGAAAATTAGAGAAAGACTGTTTATTCTGATCAAGAGCTTATTTTTTAGGATTGTTATTTAGTCTAGATCGGGTTTTGTTGACAATCCGCCATTTTTTCCCAATCTTCAAAGCCGGGTATACATTGGCGACCGAAATTTGTCGCCAAATCAAAAAATCGCCAAAAGGACCAATACTAAAGCTGTTCCATTTTGAGTATTAAATGCATGATTAATTCTGCAGAAATTCTTCATCCATACACATAGTATTCAGAGTAGATGGGAAAGAAAATTCTTTCACTACTTACAAAAAATGAGACATGAATAGTTATATTAAATTTTGCTGTTATGTCTTATTGAGTAAAGAGCATTAATGACGTATTTTATATTCATGCAATTGATTTTTATATCCAAACATTATATGTTAATTTATACACATAATGTTGCATAGAATGGTTAAATTGAAGCTCTCTTTTTGATTTAATTCCGAAGAAGATTACAAAATGTGTATTATGTGCGAGTCATAACTTCATATTTAAGCACCGTGTTATTTAATTTTTAATTGCTTTTTAAGACCTTAAGTGACACCACCAGCAAAATTCTCCCTACAATTACTTTTTACATGGACAGTGGCAATATTTATTTTTAACATTAGTAAGCTTTTCAAATAAGTTCAAAAACCATTTTAAACATGGAATATGAAACACTCGCATAAGAAGGGGGGGGGAATAGATTTCTTTGAAAATTCTTATCTTTTGAAATATTGGTCTTTTAAGACTACATAATTTATAGAGAAAAGTTCTTGGTTATAATAAAAAAATTAAAATATTTAAAAATTACATAAAACAACAAATATTATGTCTCTCTCTTAGTCTTCTTAGTGACTGCCATAAAATAATACATCAGAATAATCTGGCACAGTTCATATTTCTATGACAGTCATGGTTTTGCTAATATCTACTGGACATAACTGCAGAATAGATTCATTAAAACTACCAAAACGGAGATAAATGCCAAACTTCATTAGTTTTTTTTTTCCCTCAAGATTATTGCCATGAAAATCATTTTGTTAGGCTTTATTTACCACTGAAAGCAACATCTATTTGCACTGTATCATTTCGAGAAAAATCTATGTCATATGACTCTTACATAATTTTGGTGATGTAAATTGAACTAAAACTCAAGCAGCAAATAATAATTTTACAGTAATATTAACTATCCAATCAAAATGCTTTGAGAACCAAAATTAACTCACTTAACACTTCATCCTGAACATTACACATTTTCTTTCTACACTTTGCCTTAGCCGGACTGCAGTCTGTTTGCTTCTTCTTTTTTGCTGCAAATCTATCAAAAATGTAAGCCCTTTGGACAGGCACATTTAATGTGCTGACTACATATTTGATAGATTTGCAGCAAAAAAGAAGAAGCAGATTCCAGATTAGATTTGAGGTTTGTCCTCAATATGAATTAGCACATGATTGCTTAATTTACGCTTTTGAGTAAATGATTTCTTACATACTTCACAAACATGAGGTTTTTCTCCTGTGTGAATGAGCATATGCTCAATTAAACGACTCTTTTGACTAAACGACTTCTTACATATTTCACACACATGGGGTTTTTCTCCTGTGTGAATGAGCTTATGCTGGTTTAAAGCAGACTTTTGACTAAATGACTTTGTACACACTTGACACACATGGGGTTTTTCTCCCGTGTGAATCAGCATGTGCTGGTTTAAAACAGATTTGTGAGTAAATGATTTCTTACATATTTCACACATATGATGTTTCTCTCCTGTGTGAATAAGCATATGCTCATTTAAATTACGCTTTCGTCGAAATGACTTTTTACATACTTCACACATATAAAGTTTCTCTCCTGTGTGAATAAGCATATGTTCATTTAAATTATTCCTTCGACTAAATGACTTCCTTACATACTTCACACACATGAGGTTTCTCTCTTGTATGAATAAGCATATGCTGAATTAAATGAGCCTTTTGACCAAATGCCTTTTTACATACTTCACACACATGAGGGTTCCCTGCTGTGTGAATGAGCATATGCTGGCTTAGTTTACAATTTTGATTAAATGACTTCTTACACACCTCACATATATGACGTTTTTCTGCATGAATAAGCATATGATTTTTCAAATTTCTTTTTTCAAAAAATGACTTCTTACATACTTCACATACATGAGGTTTCTCCCCAGTGTGAATAAGCATATGCTTTTTTAAACAACTTGTTTGACTAAATGACTTTTTACATACTTCACACACATTAGGTTTTCCTCCTATATGAACGAGCATATGCTGGTTTAAAATAGACTTTTGACTAAATGACTTCGTACATACTTCACACACATGAGGTTTGTCCTCAGTATGAAGAAACTGATGCTTACTTAATTTACGCTTTTGACTAAATGATTTCTTACATACTTCACACACATATGGTTTTTCTCCTGTATGAATGAGCATATGCTCATTTAAATGACCCTTTTGACTAAATGACTTTTCACATACTTCACAAACATGCGGTTTTTCTCCAGTGTGAATGAGCATATGCTGGTTTAAAGCAGACTTTTGACTAAATGACTTTGTACACACTTGACACACATGAGGTTTTTCTCCTGTGTGAATGAGCATATGCTGGTTTAAAACAGACTTGTAACTAAATGATTTCTTACATATTTCACAAACATGATGTTTCCCTCCTGTGTGAATAAGCGTATGTGTATATAAACTGGCCTTTCGACTAAATGATTTCTCACATATTTTGCAATCGTAAGATTTGTTCCCAACGTGAATAAGCAGATGCCGTTTTAAACTACTCTTCTCAGTGAATGATTTCGTGCATACTTCACATACATGAGGTTTCTTTCCTGTGTAAACGAACACATGCTTGTTGAAATTATCCTTGTGCATGAATAACTGATTACATTCCTCATGCACATGAGCTTTCTCTTCTGTACAGGTATCCATTAGGTTTTCTAAAGCATTACTTTTTCCAAATCATTGGTTACATACCCCTAAACAGAAAGTTTCCGCACTACGGAGATAAGTACAAGTTTCGATTTCACATAACTTGCTACATACTTAGTAATTATATTTATGCTTGACATGGATGGAAAATGGGTTCGTGAACTAACATTTTACCCAAATGAGTTCTTGAATATTTCATCGCAGTTTTCAGTGTCTTGCGTAAATACACATGTAATTATTATGATAAAAGTATTTATACATATTGTGCACGAGACTTATCTAATGGCCTAGTTAGGCATGGTCTGATTTCCAGGAACACTTTAGTTAAAAATATATATATATATATATTTTATAGAAATATAATTTATTGCTCAAGAATATATACATACTTAATTATGATATCTGCGACATTTTAATTACTTGAAGTTTTGCTTCTTTAACATTTATTGGCCAACACTCAAGGTTTCTAAAATATGCTAAAAAGTATTTTACTGGTCTTTGTGGACAATTAGCAGTTTGAAAAAAGTTACTCATTTAAACCGGAAATAGTAACTTAGAAGGCAAGTGGGCAATCGTACGCTCACTTACAGAGTTCCATAGTCTTGCTAACAGCACACATTGCTGATTTACCATTCAAAAACTCAAAATGCTACTGTTGCCACTCCTTCCTGCATTTCCTGTTTAATATTTGATACTGTTTGTAGCGTCGCTTCAGTTCCGTCAAGTTTCTAATTAAGTTTAGTTAAAGCGGAATGGCAATACTTCTTTTTCTCACCACGAAAAACAAAGTTCGGTATTCTATCATGCGATTTAACATGGATGTAAAATGTAAATAATGAGTAAGTATCTATAACGTCGTAAGGAATAAAATATTGATTCTATTGGAGTCAGGGAAGCGTTATTTTCCTACATTTGCATACGAGACACTTCACTGTTTTTATTATTCTGGCATGCAGAGGGGAATTCTCAGATTCCTGAGAGAATCTCGAACTGGGCCTGAGGTCTGAGGAAGTCCGAAAATAGTATTCTCCAGATCAGGTATAAGCTCAGTTTAATATTTGTTTTGCTAAGGCCAACTCATACTGTCAGACAGGACGAAATTTCGCTTCCTAGTTTCCAATGGTTTTCGCGAAATCCATCACTAGGTGGTGCTCGAAACCGCTGTACTTTGTCTATATATTCAACATTTGCAACGTAGCTCATTAATAATATAAAGTGTATTTTATTAATAAGTATCATTGTTTGCTAATAATTATACAGGATGGTATATTGTTGCCTGCCGTACTGCAAAGTACTCTTCCTTTTAACAATTTTTTACGGTTTATTTAAATAATTATTCGCAACATATAACTGATGGAAATGCTATGTATAATACATAGCACTTCCATTAGTTACATGTAATACAGATTTAATACAAATATATAAAGTTGGCGCAACCAAGGCTGTTCTCCGAACAATAGCCCATAATTCAATATTTCTTAAAACAAAAACCATCATCACGTAAAATTTTAAAGCTTTAAAATTCTTTTGAAATATTTTCCCCTCTTAGCTTTTGTATATAAACAAGCTTCTTAATGTGTATGTTTGTTCAGCTTAATACTTCTCATCTTACAGTTATTGTAGTGCGCTATCATTTATTAACTCCAAATTTGTTTGATAGCCAATTTATATTTAGACCTATTTTTTAATTTATTTCATTTCATGCAACTTACTGCTCCCTGTTTATACTGCACTCTCACAATCCTCATGGAGTAAATGAATCTGTCAGTAACAACTTCTAAATCACTGTATATACTTAGCTCATGTGAAGTAAATCTAAAAGATTTAAATGTATTCAAAGAATAGAAATATTTGTGTAAATTTGTATTCTGATTTGCACCGTAAACTTCTGTGGTGTCCCATATAGCACAGTTGCTATAACGTTGCAGTGACATCTCAATGTTACATTTTCTTCACATTACATTTGTGACCACGGTACAACGTTGCAGAAATGCCACATTGTGATATGGATGTGAATGTCGTACGGATGTCACATACACGTCACAGCAGCCGTTCAATGTGACCACAAGAAATTTCTCAGTCTTCTCCACCCTGATTATTCTTGACCTTGCTGACGTAATTGACCTTGCTGGGAGGTATTTTTGCGCTCTGATCTTGCTCTCCCGACTCATTCTTAAATCTTTCAATAAACCTTTCTATGAATAAATTATTTTTTTACGCTAACAGATTGCGATTTTAGTTATTTCTTTTTTTTATTAAAAATACTGATAGTTTAGAGCGTGTTTTTACTTTGTGTGATACTAAGAAATAGTGAAAGTATATTTTTTGACGAATGCATACACATTCTACTATATCGAGTATTGTCAAGAATGGCTGCTCAAAGAGTTAGTATAGCGTTTTTTCATCTCGAGGATTAAGTGACCATTTTTTAACCCATCAACGAGCCCGCCTCTCGGAACGAAATGCTTTGAAAACGGCCGCGTTGTCAGACAACAAACCCCTCCAAAAAAAAATCGCTTTCGTTTTCTGAAATCTCTCTAAGATGGCCCAGCCTAAGGCAGTATGTTTGCTTCCCCTTAGTGTGATGGATAAGCCATAAAATTGCCTCCCCGGTATTGAATGGCTTGCGTTTCGTTTCGTCTCCCTCCTCTTTCTTTGTACTAGTAGCCTGTAGACTTGTTTCTTTTAACATGTGACGGCCGAATTTTCCGAAATCTTTTTAGAATTTTAGCTTCCAAGCTTGTAAATTTTCAATTATTCGACATGTTTTATTGGGCAGTATTTTAAGAAAGATCATTATTTATTTTGTTACACAATTTTTTACTATTTACTAATCTATTTTATTTAGTTTTAGTAGGCCAATTTATTTTTGGAAATTAAATTTTAATTCCATTCTTTTACCGACTCAGTTTTTCATCACATTATAAGTCCATATATATTTACGATGAGAGTACAATATTTATCAGGAAATTTTTGGAAAATTTGGCATACGTATTTATATTTTAGCGTTGAATTTTTTCCACAAGTTGTTCGTTAACAGTCGAGCTCATCCTCGTAAACGCTTGATCTTTTCAGCATGGAAATTGGCAAGCAATAATCTTCCTAATATTTTTGGGGATTTTATAGCAATTTCTAGAATTTTGGCGGTTTTTCTACAAATATTTTGGGTACGTTTAGCTATTATACAGTTGCTACTAATGTGGAATTTAAAGCCAAAAATGTACTTCCTTCGTTGATTTGAGAGATCGCATTTCGAATTTAAACGGAAGTTTAAATGAATTTGATACAATCTTAGCACAGACTAGAAGAATTATTTCTCTGTGTTGGATGGATTTTTCTCACTTTTCTGCATTTGATAGATTAAATGCATAAAGCAGACACGCACAAATAGAATTTAAATAAATTTAAATAAATTTCTATTTTCATTTAAAATTTGTCATTATTAGCACCTCCCGCAGTTTTATGCAATCATAGGATTTTCCGAATTCTATTAGGTCGTTAACATAATTTCAAGGCCGAATAGAAAAGTGATAATATGGAAAGACTATGTCTTGAGTACCAATAGCCAAGTATTTGTAATTAAATAAAAATAAATATTGAATACCAGCCGCTTTTTTATTTATTTTTAGTCATATAACAAAAGATAAACAAGAATACTATTACATCTAAGAATTATTTAGTAAATTATTTTGCTAATGTTATATGAATGAGGAAACACGGTAAAAATGTTTTAATGATTGAATTCACCGTTAAAAATCAAACAAACCCCAAAATTCCTTTTTCCCAAAACTTCGTAAAATGTTTTGATTAAATATGATTTGAATAAGTTTTCCAATTCTGTTTTGAGTGATATAAATAGGATAAAAATTATTAAATTAGGATATAAATATTAGGATATAAATTATTATTAGTAATAATTTTTGTATTATAACTTAGCAGAATATCGTTTACCGTTAAAAATTATATCTAAAAGAATTAAATTTTGTAAAAGAATAAAAAATATAATTAACTGTTCCATTTTTGTCCTCTATGCATCTATTTATATAAAAAAGGAATCTGGCTAGGGAATTTACGACTTGTATATGAACTAAAAATTGGTATCTTGACAAAACTTGTCAGAGCATAAAAAGCGTATATTCTGTGATATTAGTGTATTAATCATACTTCTGTATCCGTAAATGCAGTTTATAATTACCAGCATAAGTATCATAATGGATTTTTATTAAAACGACGAAAACTGAATGCATTATCAAAGTACGGCTCTTTATCCCGTTAAGTATTGCTTGGGTCGTAACCAACACGAGTTTTATTTTTGAAATATTATTCCAAATAAAACAGGAAGCGTTAAACTATATGCATTTTAAACAGTTTTTACTTTTTTATATGCATACAAATGTTAAGTAGCTTTAAATTGTACTTCACTTCTGAAACTTCTGCGGTATTATTTTTAGAACAGATCAAGGACTTTAAAGAACAAGTACATTTTAGTAATATGCAACGTTAATGATATAGTTCAAATGTTATTGAAAAACTGTACGATTTGTAACTGGCACTGGAAGAAGCAAAATTTATCTACAACTTTCCCTTTCTTCCCAAATTCGTCTGATTAGCAAGGATTGAATAGATAATTGTAAACGTCTTTGCTAAAAGTAATAATAATCGGGAAGAATCCTTTCTACCCCTGCCTCCTGGGAAAAGAAAACGACTTGGAAGGGAACCTGACCTCCGCAGGCTAACTGACACTAAGGTCTCCAAAGACTATTTCTAGTCAATAGAGTTTTTTCATTGTAGAAATACTCATTATCTAGAGCTATCTTTTTTTCTAGCCATTGTAAGCTACAGATATAGTGGGAAAAAATTCTCATTTTACATAATTTTCGGATAATTACATTTTACGTTAAATAATTTTAGATTTTGATTAACGCAATCGATGAATATGGCAGAATAATAGTTTGTTGTAAACATTGTAAATTTCAAAATTTCAACGTTTTTTAAGTAAAGATTTTCAAGTAAACCAAACCAAAGATTATTAAATTAGTCTTATAATGTTTACTGTTTTGGTTTTCAGTGTTCTGAATTTGCATTTTAAAAACATAATTTAAATAATCTTTCTTTACGCTAGTCGCTTTTAAAATGTTTACCTATGTAAACACTTACTAATGTTTAATGTAATGTAGCAACTTTGTATGTACTTAACGAAAGACTTAGAGGAATTTATAAAGAAAACTAGTTCACATGGAAAAAATCACGAAATCTTCCTTACAGCCAACGTATTGACCAGAAACCAAAACCAGGTCAAAATACTTATGATCATCTCTTTTATCCACATAGCCATTGGTAAACTTTTCAAACTTATACTTGTTCTTATTGCAGTTATAAACAGAAATGTGAACACTCAGATACTGCCGCTTGTTAAAGTTAGTACAGTCTGCGGCTGATTCTATATCTGCCGAGGTGTTTTCGAAAAAAACTTGAAAGATAATAAATTATGTTACCTGCTGAGTCATCGAAATATTATATATTTGTTTATTGAAACTGAAAATTTTATAATTTTCTATAAAACTGCAATGGAATTATTGCATTGAGTAATCTTCAGTGTGATGTAATTAGTGTCCTAAATATAAAAGTATGTAAAAATC